ATTCCTGCTCAAAGAAAATGTAAAGAGTTCTACACAGATTTCTGCATAAACAAAGTTCTCATTTAACTGATACCAACATCAGTATATTTTAGCAGTAGCTTCCAGTAGTACAAGCTGCCACTGTTCAAACGACACATCACTGGAAGAGGAGAGCACTCCCATGTTTTCCAACATCATCCTCTAGGTACATTGCTACTTGGCCAGAAATTCAACAAAAGCTTCAGCCTGAAATAACTCTTCAACACAAGCTTTCAGCCAACTCTGATGAGTCACTAACTGAAGACTAGAAGGAAGTAATCGCCACAGCATTTCTACGCAGATGCCTCTCAGTGACATTGAGTGAGGTATATTAATGAATTTCTATTTCTCTCTCATTAAAAGCCAAAGGTACAACCCTTGGCAGAAAGGCACTCAGGTTCCAGTGATCAGTGGATCCAGATCAACATCCTCTGAATAAGCAAGTCACAAGGATTCTGTTCCTTTGTGGTTTTCATTCAGATACACATCCTGTATCACACACAAAGTCTCTTCTTCAGCTTCTATTCATATCACCTTTTTCTCCTGTCAATATTTATCCATCAAAACAACCAGCTGCATATGAGTGATGACCACTGCAGTAACGACTGCCATAAGCCGTGGAAATACAGTGTCTGGGCTCTGTTCCTAAGGCCACCTGCACAGCAATGGGCGTTTGGATGGACAGAGTCTGGGCAGATGGCCGAAGGCTGGCCTGAAGAGCTGCGTAGGAACGCAGTGAGCTGTCAGCACTCCCAGCAAGCAGACTGCTGGGCCTGTGGGCCTGTAAGGAGTCACGATAAGCAGAGCACAAATCTTGTACTGGTGACTGGATCTGGGAAAGCGTAGCTGAATGCTGGGCTAAAGGGTGATAACTAGATTGCTGGAAGAGAACTTGAGTGGTGGCTTGATGACTCAGATTTCCCACTGCTTCCTGTTCTTGATGTTGAGTTGTTACTTGCTTTTTTATGTTACTGGCTTCTTTGATGTCATTCTCATAATATCTGAAACAAATTATAAAGTAGGATTTATCAAAGAGAAGGTCTCAGAGCTTGCATATATCCCAAGTTTTCACCAGTCAAGCTACATCATCAGCTTTTTGGCCCTAGTTGTGTATGGTAATCTTCAGTTGCTTCCTTAATTTCTAATTATCCTGCTGCAATCTACACATGCTAGCAACGGGTTTATGAATCATTTTGCATCACAAGTATGTTTGCATGTGCTCACATACCAGACCAGTATTGATGCACAGCAGTCATGTCCTTTACTGGAGAAAAAACCCAAAGAATTGTTCTGAAATGTCTCTCTACTGTATTCTTGATGTTAGAGATACACTGGTGTCTCTCTGCAGCAAGTATATTGCAGGTACAATGAAAAAACAAAGGGAAAAAAGCTTTCATCAAGCATCTATAAAAGCCTCCATCCAATCACATAGCCAATCAATACAAGGAAACACAATGAACACTGAACTGTGCACTCCATTCCACATTACTGAATACTGCATTTTAACAGCATTTGCAAAGTGACCTGATTTTTCCCTTTTATTCCTCTCCCCGAACTGAAGATGGCAGTTACCAATGTAACACTGTACTCTTAATTATATCTAAACAATTACTTAAAAAAGAATATTAACGTCTTCCTAAGAGCACAAGCAAGTTACACTCTTT